TCTCGCTACGGTACATGTATTTCTGTAAAGCGCTTAGAGCTGTGTTGACACGAGAGTGGCCGCTATAGAAATGATCTAACCCCCCGGGGCGGTGCCACTGACTGTAGTGTCTTTAGGCCATTCCCAAAGGGGGGACAATTCTCGTTCATGTACAGAAGAATTGTAGATGGGCTGATTCATCAAGTCACTCTCATAACTGTGTCTGATCTACAACAGGGAACTGCTGCCTTTTCTTTCCTAATCCTTACTATTGTCTTTTTTCCTCTATTTCTTTAGTATGTTTGTCACACTCTATTTCCGGGGTGTCTTGATAGTCGAAACAGACTTTGTGCGGTTGAGGCTAGAGAGGTGAGCAGAGTAAGTGTGATTCCCTGTAAGGACTTCTCTGTTGACACCCACCCCTTGGCGCTCATATGACCTTATGCACTTGCGAGCGCCGTAAAACCTCTACTAAAACTAAAAAAAGAAATGATCTACATTATATTATTATTATAATTACTTATTATTCTGTCCTCAGAGAAATTTACATCTGAAAATAGCAAAAGTTGCAAAAAGTTGCAAGAAAAACCGGCAAAAGTTGCAAGACGTGTATAGCTAAAATGTGTCCGGGAATTACTGGAATACATCGTTGGTATGCTCATGGCAATCAAAATAACCAACCTGAGTTTTGTTAGATCAAAATCAAAAGTGAAATGTGAATGTCTGCAAAAAAACCCAACTGCATGGAGGTTGCAAGGTAACGTAGTGCAAAGGAAGTGGCAGATCTATTTCAGGTACGAATTGTCCCCCTTCGTGTCGTTATTTTTAGTCGCGAAAGAAAATTTCGGTTATTTTTACTGAAATTATATTATTATTTTTCCAATTTTTTCGGAAATCGCTTAAAATTCGCGAATTCACGAAAATGGCAAAAGTTGCGAGCCCAAATTTCCCTGAGGACAGATTCTTCTCATTCTGACTACCTCTGACTACACCGGAGCACCGGCCCGATTTGGCTGTGGCCTTCATCTTCTGAGGGATCATGATCTCTCGTTCCGCCTTACGAAGGGACCGATCGTCTGGGTCACCTGTTG